GTGATTTTGCACGGACAGGAAAAGAAAAATTAAACTGTAAAAAATAAAAATAAAAAATCGCTACTCTGTGTAACAGGTCGGCAACGAATTGGATAGGATGAAAACCAACTCCCTCCGCAAGAAGATGCATATTTCCTGCATTAATGTGATTTAAATCAGTGGTGGATCAATGGGTGGGGGGGGGGCTGCGATTCAGCCACAGCCCTCCCTTTAAAAAAATGGAAATTGGGGAAAAAGAGAGAATAAAGTAAGATAAATCAGAAAAGAAAGAGAAAATAATGTATAAGAGAAGAAGATAGAGGGTGGAGGAAAAAGAGAGAGAGAGAGATAGAGACCAAAAAAGGGAAGAACAGGAAACTTAAGTTTACACATACAGATTAGATTTCCGAAGAGTTGGCTCAAATTGTAAACAAATGTACAATGCCGGTACTAAAAGACAGTTCTATAAAATTGTCTTTTAATTTTTCTTAAATACATTGGTGATATTTCTGCAAAATTTTCAATTGTATTGTATTGTATTTATTAACATTTATTTCCTTCTCAACAGCACAATATAAAACACAATGTATATATACATGATATATGTAACAATTATTTCAACATAGAGTATACAGTAATTAATGGTAATACCCGGTCAGAGCTGTCAACCATTACGTTTTCCCTGGAATTATCCTGTTTTTTCCTCCAAATTACGGTAGTAGGCCTACGTTTTTTTCTTCACAATTACTTTTTTTTTGTCAATTATTTGTCTTTTTTTTTTTTACATACCGAATGTCAAACAATTGCCCTTAAAAGTTGATTTGATCACAAAAAAAAAGAAAACTAAGTTTAAAACATACTTGAAGAGAAAAATATTCTCAAAAAAAATGAAATGCCTATAATACTAAAATAACAAAAAAAATACCTACTTGTAAATAAACTATAGGTCCTAATATGGAAATAACAGCATGAGGAATGGATATTTCTGCATTGGAAGTGTATCGTGCATGGTTGTAAATTTCATTTTAATGAATTCCTTTTTTTTTTGCCATCATGGTTCCTTTGGTCGCACAAGGTTGGCAGCTCTGATCGGTGTTCGTTTCAGTCTTCAAGATGAAATGTATTCTTTCCTTGTGCATCTACATGTAGGTGGGCAAAGGTCAAAATAATGATTTTCCTTCACTTTGCTGTGAAAGCTACATCTAGAGAACATCATAAAGTGAGATACCTGCATGCTCTTAGACGGGTTGTCCTTCAATTCTACAAATAAACAGGCATACTTTATTAAAATATATTTAGTTTTCAGGGCAGGGTTGAAATATAGCACCTGTGTGATATCAACTTGGTCTCAGGCAGTGGCGTACGCAGGATTTTTTCAAGGGGGGGGGGTTTAACATTTTGCAATCAGGCCAAAAATTTTGCAAAAACTCAGCCCGCCCCTGAATAAGCGGGAGGTGGGGGGGGGGGGGGAGTAAGAGGACACTTTTTTTTTTTTGGTCTCAAAAAAATTGCAACGACTCAGCCAGCCGCTGAACAAAAAGTAGGGTTTAGATCAAAATACACACATAACATAACGCGCCTGGTCTCAGGCACTGGCGTACCTATGGGGGGGGCAGGGGGGCAGAGTGCCCCCCCTGACGGGCTCCAGGGGAAAAAAAGAAAAAGGGGAAAGAAAAGAAAAGAAAGGAAAGGAAAGAAAAAAAAAAGGGAAAAGGGAAGAAAAAAGGAAAGAAAGAGAAAAAAGGAAAAAAAGGAAAGAAAAAGGAAGAAGAAGAGAAAAGGAAGAAAAAGGGAAAAGAAAAGGAAAGGAATAAAAATGGGGAAATTTATTTTTAAAAAAAGACCATGGCCGTACGCACCAAGGGGGGGGGGGGGGGCAGTTGACCACAGATATTTTGAAAACGTACAGTTTTTTTCCCTGAAAATGTAGTGTACGCCTTTAATTACCAAATCCTTCAATTCTACTTTTGAAAATGCAAAAGTTCCCTCATGACCAGTTCGGTCGCTCGAACTCCCTTCACTCCTTTTGCTTTTGAGATTCTTCAAAAACTTTTAACGCATCTTTCCCCCTCCCCCACCTGAAAAATATTCCGCATACGGCCCTGAAAAATTAAAACATATGAAAATAGGAAAATATAAGTGATATAACAAATTCGAAACTCTTCGCTGGCGCAAACTGCTTGCTAGCCTATTTTGTATTAAATGTTTTCACCTGCTCGTCCCCCTGAAAAAAGAAAAGGATTAGTATTGCCTAGAATAAAATTGTGCCTGCCCCGACGGGCCCCAACCTGCAACCATGGCAACAATAACACACAATATATGTACCAAATGTTACTAAAAGAGACTAATTCATTTTTCTCGCTCGCTACACTCGCTCGCGAATAAAATGAATAGACATTGCTTTGGAAACAATTGTGCCCACCCTTGACCTGCAACAATATCATTAAAAGTGGGAGAGTTTTTTCGCCCTCTCGCCAAAAAGGAATTGAATCGCGTTAAACGCGATTGCGTCCATCCTGACCTGCACCAATAAAAACAAGTTTATTTATTAATTTTTATTAAAAGAGAATTTATTGTTTTTGCTTGCTCGCTATGCTCGCTCGCCAAAATGGAATTGACACCGCTAACGTTCCCGCCCCAACCTGCAACAACCAGTTAATAATTATGTACCAAACGTTATTCAAAGAAGTTTTGGTGTGCTCGTGCTCGCCAAAACGGAATTAACATCACCTTAGACATGATTGTGTAAGCCCTGCCCTGCAACAAAAAAATCTGAAATTTATGAACCAATTATCATTACAAAAATTTTGCTCGCTCGCTACGCTCGCTCACCAAAATAGAAATAACACTGCTTTTAATAATCACGTCCCTGACATGGAACAATGAACCCAAGTTTATATATACCATATTTTCCCTATAAAAGAGAAGTGATTTTTTTTGCTCGCTCGCTACGCTCGCTCGCCAAAATAGAAATAACACCACTTTTAATAATCACGTCCCTGACATGGAACAATGAACCCAAGTTTATATATACCATATTTTCCCTATAAAAGAGAAGTGATTTTTTTTGCTCGCTCGCTACGCTCGCTCGCCAAAATAGAAATAACACCACTTTTAATAATCACGTCCCTGACATGGAACAATGAACCCAAGTTTATATATACCATATTTTCCCTATAAAAGAGAAGTGATTTTTTTTTGCTCGCTCGCTACGCTCGCTCGCCAAAATAGAAATAACACCGCTTTTAATAATCACGTCCCTGACATGGAACAATGAACCCAAGTTTATATATACCATATTTTCCCTATAAAAGAGAAGTGATTTTTTTTGCTCGCTCGCTCGCCAAAATAGAAATAACACCACTTTTAATAATCACGTCCCTGACATGGAACAATGAACCCAAGTTTATATATACCATATTTTCCCTATAAAAGAGAAGTGATTTTTTTTGCTCGCTCGCTACGCTCGCTCGCCAAAATAGAAATAACACCACTTTTAATAATCACGTCCCTGACATGGAACAATGAACCCAAGTTTATATATACCATATTTTCCCTATAAAAGAGAAGTGATTTTTTTTTGCTCGCTCGCTACGCTCGCTCGCCAAAATAGAAATAACACCGCTTTTAATAATCACGTCCCTGACATGGAACAATGAACCCAAGTTTATATATACCATATTTTCCCTATAAAAGAGAAGTGATTTCTTTTGCTCGCTCGCTACGCTCGCTCGCCAAAATAGAAATAACACCGCTTTTAATAATCACGTCCCTGACATGGAACAATGAACCCAAGTTTTATGTACCATATTTTCCCTATAAAAGAGAAGTGATTTTTTTTTTCGCTCGCTACGCTCGCTAGCTCGTGGAATTATGTGCCCACCACTAACCTGCTACAATATCATTAAAAAGAGAAATGTAGGGGGTTGCCTGCCCGCCAAAATGGGATTGACATTGCCTTAAACACGATTGTGCCCGCCCCCTACCTGCAACAATGAAACAAATTTTATATAGCAATTCATTGAGAGAAAGATGTATTTTCGCTCGCTAGCTAAAATGGGTATAAAATCACCCTAAACACAATATTGTTCCCGCGCCCTGCATGGGACAATTGAACCAAGTTTAAGTGGCAATTCTTAAAAAAGAAGTGATTTTTTTTTCTTGCTCGCTACACTCGTTTGCAAAAAAATTAAATTAACGTCGCTAACAAGTGAATGTTCCCACCCCAACTTGCAACAATACCAGTTTATATACCAAACGTTACTTAAAGATTTTGTTTTGCTCGCTCGCTCGCCAGAAGTGAAAATTAGCATCGCCTTTTTTGTTTGTTTCGGTCGCTTGCCCCCCCTGACGGAGTATCCCAGGTACGCCACTGGTCTCAGGCCAGAGCAGTTTCAGGATTGGCTGTAACAGGGTTAACCATGTCCCTCAATGTAGGCAATAGTTGTATAGAAGTAGTAGTAGACGTAGTAGTAGTAGTCATGGAAGTAGCAGTAGTAGTATAAAGTAGTAGTAGTAGCAGTAGTAGTGGTACATGTATGTAGTATTTAGTAGTAGTAGAGTATATAGTAGTGGTATTGCTTATTTTACAGATGCAATTTACACCAGTTAATAGTAAAAAGGCCATACACTAGTTGGAAGTTACACCTGAAATGTTGAAAACAATCCATCCCTGATAAATACATACCTTGTGATATCCGAGCTCTCACTCCCATCCTTCATATTTGTATTCCTCCATCCACCTTTTTCTTCTTTTCCATCTCTCTCTCTTCTCTCTTCTTTTTCTTTCTTACAATCTCTTGTTCTTTTTTTCTTAAACTTTCTTTTAACTCTCCATCTCTCTCTATTTCTCACACACTTGGTCACGTTCTCAATTCCAGCCACGTGCTACCTTATCATCCTTTCATTTCGTTGAAATTATATTAAAACTTCATCCTGTATCATTTCTTAGAGAAACAAGTTTTTGTCATCCAAAAATCGACAGCATCTCGTACTTAATACAAAGGAAATTTGAAGGCATACATTTTATGAAAAAATGCTGGTGAATTTATTATAACGTATGGCAGACATCTTTAAGAAAAGGGATAAAAACCAAACAAGACAAGTGAATAAAGTGATATTAATATAAACACTTAACAAGGCTCATAGCAGAAATGCTTACAAGTGTGTTTCAAAGTTTCATCTTGGTTATTAAAGCTAGATTTCTCTTTGTAAGTTTTATCATCATAAAAAGGTCTTTTCTTTATTAAAATTTCTTTATTTAAAATGAAGAAGAAAAAATATCCAAATCTTCCTAAAAACTTCACACAAGTAAAAATAATTAGAGATTGATTTCATGCAAATTGTCTTTTCGCTGACACAAGTACCGGTAGTTGCAGATATTAAAAACAATTCACAGCATTTCAGTTACTTTGGTCCACAAACAAACAAGAAAATACTTCACTGACATTAAAAGGTGAGTGAATTCATTTTCAGTCTTTATACCAAGGGTAAAATTTCAAATACCTGTTGATTGATTTTTTTTAATTCAAAATTTCATGTACTTCTGTGAAGTTTTCTAGTTGCTAGTATGCCGAACAACCCATGAATTGTTACACTACTATACTATTGTTACAATACTATTCCCCACAAAACACAGGTATAATTAAAATGGACTCTTTCTTATAAAAGTTTCGTTTGTGTAGACTCGTTGCTCAAACTTATAGTCATAGATGGTAAGTTCATAGATGGGTCAGTTTCAGTCATTTAAAACTTCTATTTTACTACAGATTTAATTATTAAATTGTGGCGTAATTGACTTGATAAACAAAGAATTAGAATGACACAAGAGAAGCCCTTCTTGATTCAGGTTTCAGGGTCGCATAAATCGGTGCATAGTTCATGATGTTCATACACAAATTACAAATGACACACATTTTTTGTATACATGTAGTTCAACTAAATCAGTTCAAAATATTGGCATGAAGTTCAGCTAGAATATCAGTCTGCTAGCCTGCCTGCCTGATAAACTAAAAATTGGATAAGTATTTTGAGTAGAATGCTTGACTTCGGGAAAAGGTTCTACAAACGTATGAACATGCTATATACTAAAGGTATAAATAGAGTTTGAATATTGACTTTGAATAAATGTCTTTGAGTAACTGATTCAAGCAGGTAGATTTTGCAATTGCGCATATTGCTATATGAATAAAAAAAGAAATGATGATCAGATAAAATTAGCAATACTACATACCTGTATGTGTAGAACTGTGTTCTAAAGTCGTTTAATAATATACATTAATTTCTACCACCAGTACAATAATAAAAGAAAGCAAGCTTACAAGCATATATACAGTCTTGCATCAGCTAATACTCATGGTATTATGCTTCAGCATCTAAAATGACTCTGTTAAATATCTTAACGTACATGGAAAACCCGCTATGTAACTTAGACACTTACTCAAGTATTGAATAAAGAAAATGCTACACAATTCTTTGTACAATTTTCATACATGTAGCGCATTTAAAACCAATTAATTGGACCAAAAAAAAAAAGTTATTTACTTTTTAGTCACTCTTTACCAATACGCATTACTTATACATGATACGTGAACAAGATACAAATAGCTTGACAGAAACAAGAGGTGTAAAAATGAATATATTTCACAAGTTTTCACATCGCTTTCATACTCTCATGATTTGAGTGGTAAGTCTTGGACATGTTTCGCATTAACTCTGAAAGATGCAGTTTCCATCTATGTGGTGTCGTCAAACAAATAGCTTTTCATACATTTTTTCATTTGTTTCTTTTATAACTCCTGAAACAACTAAAATACTGGAAAATTTGGTTAGAAGAATGTCAAATGTGAGACAAGATTGTGTAAAGATTTTTGTTTTTCTTTCAATTTCTCAGAAAATGTTTTTTTCAGACCAATCAACATGTACACGTACACAACTCTTGCAAACTTTCATTCATCCAATACAAAATAAGGTGATTCATATAACCAAGCTAACAAACTATCATACTTCACTGGCAGTCAAATCTATCTATATGTTGTATAAAAATGAGAGTGCAATATTTCATTGGGAACTAACACTTATATGTAACGCCATGTGTACCTTAGCAGCACATGGTGTCCATTCAGAAGTACAACTCCATTTTTCATTCTTAATATCTTGATTTTTCTTATAAAAACATCCAACATACTGATATGCGATCAAAACAACATGATTAGCATTGATCATAAGGAGTTTTTGTTTTGATGTTGTAACTAAGAGGAAACATTCCAAAACTGGATCCACACTGACAGACACTAGATCAAGCTAGTCTACACCAATTTATCTACTTCATTTATACACATACACATTTCCGTTCTTGGTGATTTTTCCATGGAGGCACGTTTCATAGTAATAATTAAAGAATAGAAACAGTGAAACTTCACTACTGTTTGTCTTGTCTGTAATAGCTTACTTTGGGAAAGAAGTAGGTATCTTTCATACTTATTTTTTGATACGTTGGAAAATAGTTATTTCTAAACCTGATTTCACATACAAGAAAGCTAAGATATATTATGTGATGCATATACTGATTAAAGAATGAGTAGACTAGAATGTGGAATGAATGAATGTCTGAATGAAAGAATACCATTTCTCTACTTGATGACTGTACTCAGAACAATCCATTTAATCTCCTTCAAAATGAAGTATGCATGGAAGATAAAAGTCACTCTTAAGTACACAATTTTCTATTTTCAAGGTAAAATAAAACTAAATGAAGTACACAGAAAAAAGGAAAAGGAGGAAAAAAAATTAAAGGCTAGACATTGTGCAAAGATACATCATAAAAGTGCAAAAATTTGTAGAAAATATACCATTCAACTTATACAATCCATTAATAAAAGAAAACGTTTCCCACTTTTATTCGATTTTTTCTGTTTTGAGATGCTGAAGAATTGATAAATAGAAAGAAAAAAAAAACATCTATTTTTCTTCCCATAGATTAAAAGCGCAATATTAAAAATTAAAAGAAGATATCTTCTCCTCATTTACAATGCTACACCCTGAGACCTAAAGCACTGAGAAAAAAAATATTTTTCAATGTTCCTTTTCATTAATGAATAAATAAAAAATAACTTCTCTTTTCTTTCAAAATAAATGAGAAAAAAATTGCATATAATTTGGTATTTGAGGTCAGCCAGCCCATGATAGAATGGTTTGTGCCTGCAGGCCTACACCATGTTTCATTTGTCCAAATTTGATCCAATCAATGTTATATTAGTTGGAAAGTAAACCTGAGCACTATCCCTTGCCCAAAACAAAGATACGCAAATAAAATAAAAGTCTCTGCAAAGAAAATGAAAGGGTTTTATGCGTAGAACTCTTTGGTGTCTTTCCAGTATGCTGTAGGATCCTTGACTTTGTGGGGTTCATCCAGGGAATAACTTCCTTCATCCTTCTTCTTGATACGGTAGATGACAAAGAGGAAGAGAAGAACAACCGTCAGCAGAATCAGAACCACTGCACCAACCATACCTGCAAACAACAAAAACATCCAGTATTATTCATTTGGAGTTGAAAATATATTCATCATGCACAGAAAACATCCATTATTATTCATTTATATATTCATCCTGCACAGAAAATAAAGTAATTCACAGATTGATAGTACTCTATACATGTACACATGTGATCAGATGGACAAACAAATGGGACCTATACATGTATATAGGCAAGTAATAAATGTATGTATGTATGTCAAACTTCAAAGGGACATGTACATGTACTAAATTAATTGTAAAACCATTTCATAGCAGACAATTGAAATATGAAACTCTAGTAGATACATAATATGTGAGAAAGTACTCATAGAAAGTATACCAAGTTCACTTAGAAACAAGATAAGACCAATTAACACAAGCTTTCTTGTGAAAGCTTAGTGTTTTAATTATATACTTATTACCAATTATGGTCATGTGATTGCATTGCGAAAGAAACGTGAAATTGATCAGAAAAGGTTGATCATCTGGCATAGATGTACTGCAAGGTTTTGGAATCATCAAAATGATAAGAAATTTGGCCCAGTCTTCATAAAGTTACAAGCACTGTACACAGAAAGATGTATATGGGACTACGCACACGTGCGCGACACATGCATTTTTATCTCTTACATACCAATAGATACATTAATTTACCAAATATATCAAATATATCAATTAGTAGGCGATTTCCCGGCAAATTTGTTATCATCATGGATTATTCAAAACATATTCTTTCACATGATTGGTAATAAGAGCTTCCATTTCATTTTTTGAAATTGGGGAGCTTCCAATACTGGTCTTTACCTTTAACTCTAAGTTGGACTTAAATATTATGGAGAGCCATTTGTAGACTTATAATGAAATATATTAAAAAGCAAAATGTCTGAGTATTTTAGACTTTTCATAAATTCCACATCAAGAACATGAAATCTCCCATGGTAATAGAAAATATGAATCATTTGAATCAACATTTTATGCCTTTTAAAATAACTTTTACAAATATTTTCAGGGATGCTAATGGCAATCCATAATTTTTAAGTCCAACTTTAAATAGAGAAAAGTTCAACTTAGGATCTTTGTGAAACACCCCCAGGATAGGTTGAGATGTATGCATGTGCTGGGCTACTAACCTGCTAAGATAGCTGGATTCTCAAAGATCATCTTGAAGAAGTTCTGTGGCTCTTCATTAACATCATTAGGTCCACCATTAAGGGCATCATTATCATTCTTATACCGGACCTCATTCTCCTGATCGTACATCCCTCCAAGGTTATTTGAAATAGTGGACTGGTCCTTTCCAACATTCTCTTGTATATTGTTGTTTATGGTGGTTAGTCTCTGTGAAGAGAAGAAAAGAAGAAAATTCATAATCAAGGCTTTGAAATAAAAGTTTTAAATAGAAAGCAAGTTGGAACAAACTGTTTTTTTCTTCTTCTATTTGTACCATCTAGTGTTTGTTTAACATATGATTTATGCTTTCATTCTCTGTATGCACCATCATAGAGGGGTAACACTTAGATTTCAAAACTGACCATATTTATCAGTTTATCGAGCTGCTACTGACATTTAACCCTAGAAAGTCTCAATAAACCAATCAAAATGGTTGGCTTAAAAACTACATGACATGGTAATGTAATGTAGTTGAGCCTAACTCAACCAAATATGCTAATTCTGATTTTCATGAATACTCCAGTATCAAAAGTCAGTCTGTACAATGATTGGTAGCTGCAAAGAAATATCATAGTATAATTATACTCTTGTTTTTGTATGGCGCATATTACTTGGATGCGCTTCCATTAACTGCTTTGGATAATTGCCCTAGCAAATATGCAAATTATAGTAAGCAATTTTGAGTAGTAAGGTTTGTGATGCAGAAATTACTTACCGTTGTGGGAGAGAAGGACACATCTGGATCTTCAAGATTATCTGAAAAGCAAATAAGAAAAAGGGAAAAGCATTTTAGAGGTGAATTCCATCGATATGTATTTTGTAGTTGAATATCAATCATCATTTGTTTATATTTGTAGATCAGTGATTGATTTAATATCACCACTTCCTAGTGTGCTCACTTCCCACGGCCCACTCATATCAAATCTTTTTTCTTCATTTATGTTGGATGATAATATTTATGAACCTTATATATTATTTTCAGTTCCTCTGTGTCGTCATACATTTTCAAAATTTTCATTTTCATCTATTATGCAAAACCAGTGAGGAAATATGAAATAAGTTGGCTTATTGTTATCTTCATGGCTTCCATATTTACAGGTCAGTAAGTTCATAGAATAGAATTAAACTGGAAGAGTGGATATATTCAGACTCTTTTTACTCCCCTCAACGGACCTTTACTGTTCCTATGGTACCTTTGGCAGTGTATAAGCTATACAAAAGAGGAGATTCATTATGTCTACTCTACATGTAGGATCTACAAGCAGAATAGCAAATGAAATACATTGGTACCATGCACCAGTACTCCCTCCCATACCCTGCAGGGGTAGCAGTTTTTTTGAACGATTTTTTGCACAATTTTGTATTTGTTATTAGGTTTAACTTAATCCCACTGTTTTCACACTTGAATTCAGATGCCTATAATTGTGCTAGTACAGCAAAAAAAAGTTGTCTCTGAAAATAACAGGGGAAGCTATAGCAGTGACAACCCCTCCCCCTTATTTTTTTTATTATAGAAGTTGACTTTAGTTTTGGATATATATGTATGTAAAGCTGTAAACATGTATGGAGTCTAATCTTGGTTTGAACCAATGTTGTGAAGGCCTAGGAAACGACTGTGTCACTCCCACCCCCACTCCGCCTCTTGGACCACACCTTCCTCTCTGATCCTAAAAGTAGAAGCACAAGTGACCTTTAACTTCAAATGTCAATCATTTTCCTGCTACAATGTCATGCATAAGAGCAACTGATAATGGACTTCTAGTGAGGAACGGATTTCATGAGATTGTTTTAATCAGTTCAATTTAGCAGGGTGACAGACATAAATATCCTGTACGCTTGCCCTACCCTTCAACTTATGTACAGGTACAGTTATGCACAGTAATATCTGTCGTGTCAAATCACAACTTCCATTCAAAAACTGCTGAATGGTTTTCTGTATTGTTAAGAAAAAAAATCAAATATTTCAGAGTACAAAAATCTCCAAAGTTTGCTCTGGGAAATGCAAAATTTCTGCAAACATACTAAAGCACAAGCAACACTTCAAGCTTTCATGATGTCAATATACTACATCACCTGAGAAAATATCTCTTCTTACACTTATGCTCCCCAAAAAGATAAACTATAATTTAAACAAAAAGCTGCATTGTTCATGTACACAACTTTACATTCCTAGTTTAGATTTCTTCAATTTCAATTGAAATGGGGCCTGAAAGACTATAGCTTTCACCACACGGTGTATTGAGCTTATCTGAAATACCAATTCCATTTCCTTCCTCAACCTGTATACAAATCAACCACTCACTGTACAACAAACTTGACCTTAACTCAGTATTCATTACTCATAGTCAGGACTGAGCTATTCTACAAAGACAGATAGCGTTCAAAGGGAAGAGGGCTCATGAGGGCACCATCTCCTTCCCCCCCCCCCCTCTCACCCAAGCAAAGCCCTACCTGCTATACCTTCAGAACAACACATAACAACAACAAATAAATATACCCACTGACAGTGTTTTGGCGTAGCCATAGTGTTGGGAGTAGAGTACTGTAAACGCTGTTATTTTTGCATGATTCATTTTTTGTGCTGAGCGACCCCAAACATGTTCGCTGGTTCTTAAAGTTGTGTTGCACGCAATTCAGGGCTTTCAGGCCATTCAAAACACGCATTTAAGTAATGCTTATATTTTCGCAAGTTCCAAAAATTCCCGCTTGCTGTTCTTAGCGCAAAAATTAATGTACTGAATGTAATGAATATTTCTACATTTACAGTACTTTTTTAAAATAATTTTAAATAAAGATTATCAAAATCTGTTCACTGAGTGGCCTTCATCTAAAATCGCAAATTGTATAAAACTTCAGGCGTCATCTGCTCCTACATTATGCGGCCATGTTGTATGGTTTTATGAAGACCCCACTTGTTTGTTTGTTTGATTGTTTTAATTAACCACGATTAAAACACCTGCTATCAGCCACAAGGCTGTTTTTCAGCAAATCCGTTAAAATATTTGAAAGTCAGGCAACAGTATTCAATATGAAATAGATTGTGTTGACAATTTACGTACTTGGGTACTGCAATGATGTTCATTCACAATAAGAAACTTGATTTTTTTTTTCTTCTTTTTTTCTTTGAACAGTTTAGATCATGCAAACATTGCAGTAATTTTCTGCAATCCATCTTGAGGTAGTTTGAGAAGATCTATGGAGGTAGGCCTATACTTACTACTTGTGCCTGATCCCTCCACCAGATCTTCATCATCTGTAGTAGGACCCACCACACCGTTAGGTCCATCTCCACTCGACATCTCAATCTCAGCTAGCATATCAGGACTACCTTCCGTCGCATCATCAATGTAGATCTCATCATTCTGCAACATCAATATTAAAAAAATTAACAATTGATGAGACATTTTAGATATTGTGTTTACACAAAACATAGGATTAGACATCAAATAATACACAGATCATCTTATTAAACAGAATCGATAATTCAGAGAAAAATGCATAAAACACTTGTTAGTTGAGTGGTACAACAGTGAAAAAATATTTTTAGTCACGGAAGCTTGTTTTATATGCCATGGAAAAACAAATCCAGCAAGTTTTTTTTAGTTTGCTACATACAGTGTACTTCTTCTCGTAATTTTGTTAGGTTGTTGATAACAACTTATATTTTGCATACTAGTAATAAATAAATGAAATGTGTAAGGCAGCTTCACTCAAATTGGATTTCTATTACTAGAACTTATAAGCTTAAAATTGTGCAAGCAAATTATAATGACAAACAGTAGGGTAGGGAAGTGGCTTTTAATTGTCATCTGTTAACAAAATTTTGCAATCTAGACACACCCATGCAGTTTTTGTTGTAGCCAATTTCCAATTAATATCTTGTATGAGATTGTTATACCAGACTTTCTGGTGAGACAATGTATCATAGAGGTTTTTGGATTTCTTGATAAACATGTGACTGTGTCTACATAGGGTTAGTTAAACTCTGGCTCACATAGACTATTAAGTCTTTTTGAGAATATTAAAGAATCTTCGACTCCATCTCTCTTTCTCTTTCTCTCTCTCTCTCTCTCTCTCTCTCTCTCTCTCTCTCTCTATCTATCTCTCTATCCCTCTCTCTTTCATCCCATGATACTCATCATCCTATATCCTCCTTACTTGACTTGCCCTGTCGCAAGTCATCACCTACGCTCAAAACATTGATGATCTGTTTTTCTCTCTCAGACACTTATCAACTTTCAGGTCTACAAACAGGAAATCTTTAATACAGTTTTTCAGACAAACATGTTGCAATCTCATCCATAGAGCTCAACTTTCAGCTCTTACATACAACTACCGTATGCAAAGACCTGTCTACATGTATACGCAAAGACTATAGACAGTCACACAATTACTCATATGACAGCATACATGTGTACAGAGATACAACTTTATCAAACATGACATTTTAGAATAATTTGTCTGCTGCCCACAAGAGGTACAAGAGCCAGCTAATAAATTTTAGAAAAATTATTGATATCCATTCCTCTGATCCTATATTCTTCGTCTTAATAACAAATAAATGTTTTTCACTTTGTGGATGTTCATCATTACACTTTTTTCTCAGAAGATACAGTAATAGACATCAATACAGAAACAAACAAAAATCAGTTTGAGAATTGGGAAAGAGAACAAGGATTCCTAATAAGGCACAGATTGTGAAGATATGTAAGAAGTGTAACAGGAACCATGGATATATGGAGTGGTCCATGTAGCCAGTCTGTTACAGGAACTTCTGGGTAGCTATGGCTCAGGGTCACAAGGTCAAATCAAAGCCTGATGATCCCCATCCTATATCAATATCAAATCATATACTGACTTTATATTACACATGAAGTCCTCCTCAGACCATTAGAATTCAAGTTGTGTCAAACAAACTGTAGCTTACAATGTACATGTGTTAGGCCTACATGTACATGTGATTCAAACATTTGACCTGAATATATTTCTTAGTCCTTACATGTATGAACTAATGTGTCAAGAAGACATTTTACATACTTGATAACGAAACACCTTTTTTTTCTTCAATCATCTAATAAATATTCATAAATAATAACCTTCAATATTCTCCTATGACATGGCATTCTTAGGCCATTCCTAGGCCATATCTAGGGCCTTCTTAGGCATGGCCGTAGCCAGAGTTGGATGTTTTTGGGGGCACATACATGTAATTGATCGACGTCCTGGGGAGGGGTCTAAAAAAGTTCAACCGATCTTGGAAACAAAATTGGGCCATTGCCCCCCCCCCCCCCCCCTGTTCTTAGGGCCTTCCTAGAGCATTCCTAGGGCATTTCTAGGGCATTCCTAGGGTTTTCCTAGGGCTTTCTTAGGACATTCCTAGTACAAAGTACTCATACCCACTCTCTGGAAATTAATTTCACAAACTAACAATTTTTCCTTCTCTTTTAAAATGTACACACAGTTTGTTGCTATGTGTGTGGATTACTGTGATTTATGAATTGCATTGACTTGTCATCATTAGCAACTGTTTCTACGTTGTAGACAGTAGCCGCCACCTTCTAATCCATATCACATATCGGTTGTGTATCAGGTTATGCCAAGAAATGTAAAAATATACATATCAACAGTAGTCACTCATAGTGCTTACTCATGGTCTACAGTGAGTGTTGATCAAAATAGCAAAGTTGTTTTCTTTACCAATTAAGGGCATATTCAGACTTCATAGTAATCCCTTATTGGGAATAAGTTGGTATTTTATGAAAAATGTTCAAAGAAAAATAAAAATGGCATATTTTTTTTTCCTTTGACTTGATGTCAGATTCCCCCCCCCTCCCCGCCCCCCCCCCCCAAAAAAAAAAATCAATGTTCAGTTATTATTTTAGGTTTAATGGCCTAATCAAAAGTAATAAAGAAAACCTTCTAAAAAAAAAATAATATAATTCATGAAACCAACTCGGCTGTCGATTGTTTATAAGAAAGTTTTTCAATATGGTTTTATGTCACTACTTCAAAACTTGGAGGAATCACTAACACATAAACAACTGTCAGCGTTTATTTATCAGCTGAACAAGTTTTTATTAACTTTTAGTGATATCTTTCTACGGCACCAAGACTGTCAACACGCCTGCATCATACATACATACATGTAACTTATCTCATCTGATATTGACAGGTAGTAGGTTTATTAGACATCTGTCCTAATTCTCACTTCTATTTTTGGCTCTGATACACTCTCATAATATCATGAGTGAAAACTTCATGAGCTATACACATGAACTGTACATGTACCAAATGAAAAACTTTATCCCACCTCCACAAAAAAGTGATTTTTTAGTAATGAATTGGCAAAAGTAACATAAGAGTTACATTACTCATATCGTCGGTGGGGTGACAAAACCTTGTATCTCAATTTTTTGAGATTTTGATTTTTTTGCACAATTTTGTACCTAATGGCCTACGACACCACCTGATAAATCCATGGAACGCCTCCTTCTCGGTTTTTCACATATTCCACACAAACACCCTTAAACTAAACCTCGTAACTTTAACCCCCTTTGAAACTGCACTGACAAAACCTCGTAACACAAGATACGTAATTCCTTCTCCTCGTAACCCACACACGGCCTAACAGTATCGAAGTTAGTGTATTCAAATCCTCGTAACTTAATCAACCAAAACCTCGTAACTCATTCAGAGTTGAAAGTAAGAACTTGTATCTCAATTTGAATACAAACTAAAAACTCGTATCTCAATGTAGATAAATGCAAAAACCTCGTAACTCACTTTCAAATATAAAAACAATTATTTTACTGTATTTCAACAATGACATTAAAAATTGTATAAATATTCCAGTTTTAAAAAGAAAGGACGATGTCACAGCACTAAATTTGTTGAGACAGGAAAGTTTTTTCGCTCTCCTGAAAATTCATGATTTTTGAGATACGAGGTTTTGTCACCCCACTGACGATATGTTCTTTGACATGTAAAAGTACATCCATTCAGGAGGATATATTCACATTCATGTTTGTGAACTTCAAAAAACATAAAGGCACATTCAGGGAAAAAAATACTTTAAAAATTTTGGGGACTAATTTTCAAGCTTGCTTGCATGCATGAAAATAACACTCTTTAATTAGTTTTGCATTGAACTCTAGGCAATTTTTTAGGGGGCTCTTTTATGACTTTCGGGGGCTCTTTTTAGCATTTCGGGGGCTTAATTCGCCCCGAGCCCCTGTGTATTTTTTTCACTGGGCACATTAGACCAATGTAACAAACAAATATCACTTTTGAATCAGTGTTATGTTATTCTAACTTTCAACATGTCGGGGTCTGAAAGTATACAGTAATATTTATATTATACACGTGAAGTATATTGAGCATATGATGTACATGTATATAGTGCATTGAGCAATAGGAATGTTTGCTACTGTGTAAGGATTGTCTGTGGATATGCTTTCCATCAGAGATAACGACTTCTGTACATGGAAATTGAATTAGCCTGACATACGTCACAGCATACCACACTTTAGGTAGGTGGAATAGAGAGTAGTCCAAAATGCATTGGCAAGTATTCTTGCAGGGATGTTTAGTTTCCAACTGAAATCTAACTTAATCAGCAAAATTGAATATACATATATCTTACATCACATTCAATGCCATTCTATAATTAGGAGAGAATAATAATAAATGGGTTTATAATACGTATGATTGCTCTTTTGAAGAAAGTGAAAATGTGAAAAACTTTTGAGTTCGATTAATGAGAAACCTGACAAATTCACACAGGAGTATCAAATGAAGGAAGAAAAAAAAGGTCATACCATACTGCACATGTAACACCATTTGAACATGATGTTGTGCCTGTATACAATTTATACAGCCTCTGGTTCTCTTTCTGTTTCCGATATAAGAACATACATGTACACAGATACTGAGATAGGCTAAATTCAATCAACTGTATGGCAGTGTATGGTTCCACTGTTAGTCATATTGGTAAGTGGCTACATCCCACATGCTATGCACCATGTGTACAGTTTTTAAATGCACATATTATACAAACAAAATATACTATCCTGATACAAGACTTCCAAATTTAATATTGATACATGTTTCAAATTAATACAAATGTTCATATTTCAATCAAGGACTAAAGAGTAGTTTTTGATAAAAATTCACCTACCTGTATTATATTTCGGCCTTATTGGTAAAACATGACTTTCAATCGAAGCGATGTACTTGAAATTACTTACATGTACCCCCCCCCCCCCCCCCCCCATTCCTGAAGTCCCAAATTAAATTCACTCTCTTGAAAATATTTTCACTCTGTGCAGGGCACACAATGAAATTATATTTCCTTTGGGATATT